AAAGTTGACGACAGCGTGAATCGCACGCATGATTCCCTGGCCCCAGTCCATAAACAAGCACCGGGATGTTTCACCTTCCTATTTATTGCTGAAACTTTGAATGAGCAGAGGCAGTAGTTACAGGGGAAACGCTTGGGTGAATATTGCTCCCATTAACAGTGATAGTTCGACCATCGATTTCGATTATGTCCACCATGTGCCTAAGAGCAGGGATGGTGACGGTAGTAGGGTATAGTAAAAGTAGAAGTGCAACCACCTACCACACTCTAAACTCTCTCTCTCTCCACTTGAACCGGTGACAAGACAGTCGAGATGACCGAGCAGGGATCAGGCGTAAGCCGCTATCACCAATGCAACTCAGGACAGTAGTGGTGGGCCAGATAGCTGAGTACTTATTTCGCCAACCACCATAACTGATGGCAAAGCCAAGGTCATTAACTAGTCGGACACAATTACGAAAAAAAATTAACACAGAAAGTCCGGCCACCTGCGATGAATACAAGGGCTACTAATTTTAGTAGGCCGTGGTTAGGCAACAGCTACATGCTCTGAACAATACTATGAGCCCTGGACGGCCCCTAACTTCGTCTGCTGGTCGTCTAAGGTGCCCAGAGACGAAAAAACTCTTAGCACGAAGTGAATTCATGGGCTTAAACGTGAACATGTAATTTGAATTTACTGTTCCTGTGAGTATGAGCCTCGTGCCGACATGCATTTCATTTCTTCAAAACTACAGAAGATTTTGGCATTTCTTTAGGCATTATTAGGTGTTTCCCTTTTAACACTATTCCCAATGATATTAGAATAAATTCATTAATAACCGCATCCCTCCCTCCCCTCCAAAAAAACGCGAAACAAACGAAAGAGGGGAGTTGGCGGTGTGGGTAGACTCTGACGTTCGCTAGTCATAATTCACCCCTGAAATGCTGTCGATGCATTGCTACGTCTGTTAACTTGTCATATCGCTGAAAATAGTATGCAAACGATAGTAGCGATGAACTTTCGTCTAACCTCTCTGACCCCTTGCAATACACCTAAACCCTCTCGCCTTTCATTCTGACTGGTGTGCCCTTTTCCTGTCGTCTAAGGCAATGCAGGAGACGGTTTTGTTGAAAGCTCTAACCACCGCCACTTATGTGGGAAGCGAGGTGTAGAATTCGGAACTGGAAAGTCTGAGAGAGCTTAAACTGACACCTGAGCGTCAAGACGTGGGGCAACACAGCCGATGGCGTCAGCATAACATACGGGCATGCTAAATGTCATTATTGCAAACAGGGAACCCGACAACACTGTGACGCTTTAGACTGAAACAGGGAATACAAAGCCGGAGACCTGCGGGGTGAGTAGATGCAGAACTAGCGCCTGTTTTGGCATAAGCTAAGGCAACCAATCCTGCTCATCCTTGTTTAGCAAAATGTCCTCGCAACCGACTTAACCTTCCGGTCCCACAAGTGGGCATAAACTGATTAGAAGCAGTCAAGGCACTTGCACAAACAAATGTCCTTTTGACTTTCAGAAGGAGAGAGCCGAGGCAAAAACAAACAGGTAAATAACCTGCGACGAACCACTGACCTCGTTTAGACAAATTGTGCATATTACGACCTAGGCC